TGTGTAGAAGAAGCAATATTGTCAACATGTACAGATTCAAGCTACTTTACCTTCCTTAAAATAATACCTACAAGGGAGGAGTTCCTCTCCATTGGTACACTTGATGCTGGGGTGGCATGTATGAACTGCGGAGGAACTCGTGCTGGCTCAAGTTCCACCGCTCCAGAAGATTGAATTCAGTCTCCTTAATATATTTGTAGGTGAAGAAGCCACTTGCAGGCTTGTACTTTCTTGTGGCTTGTACGTTTTGGGTTTTTTTTTTTTTGGCCCAAAGAATGTTTTCCGCTCTTTCCCTGCCAAACAAGAACACGCTTTCCCAGGACGACTAATGCTCCTGCGTTGTTTACTTTTTCTAGGGACAGCATTTTTGGCGATATGGAACGTTCTAAAGCAATCTTTGGTGAGAATCAAATCTTTCTTGACAAAAGAAAAACATTTTCTTCCCGATTGGCCCCTTTTATCTAAGAGACTAGTTTCCTCCCGCAATACATTCGATGATGTACTTCGTAATATCACTCACTTATTCAACACTGTACGGTTGCATACGTTTATGGGCCGCTTCGGTTAAAATGTAGGTCCGGACCCGCGGATATCCGCATCCCCCAGTTTACTGCGGATTTGCAGGACTCTACTTATATCGTCATAATATAACTTTTAAAAATCCGAAATATGCAGTGTGCCCCACACACAACACTATCACTTCTGTTAGCGGGAAGGTTCTAGTTGATACTCTCTTTGTGGCATCATGCCATTGAGAGATGCTGTTGTATGTGGAGGGGCATGTCCTCCAGAACACTTTATTTTGCAGAAAACCTTGGTTTTTCATAGTGCTGCTCTAACTCCTATTCTGCTGCTTTTTTATGGCTTGTGGCCCACATAAAATGCGTGCACCAGCTCAGGACGTCTTAGAAAGCTGGAACAATACTCTCCACTGAGCACCTTAGAGCACTTGTCGTAATTCTACACTTGAAGATGAAAGGTCGCAGTAGGAGTTTAAATGAAATGATCCAACGTCATGCACGGTCCTTACTGCTGCTGTTTGTGTGCTTGAGGCTGTGTTTGTAGCGGTCCCCAGTGTCAGCAGGGCGCCATGTTTGACAAGTGCGACTGCTGCGCAGATATTTTTTTCTGGTAGCTCACCAGCATAGGAGAAAGTGCACACCTTCTTTTCCGAGAACTACAGGAGATTGGAATGGGTTACCTGGGGATGGGGGGAAGGGGGGGTAGCAGAAAAGGTTCTTGAAAGAGACGAGGTAGAGGGTGAATTCTTGTGTATTTTTTTCAAGTGAATTCTGATATCACAAGCATTTGACCCAAGCATATACTAGACGTGAAAAAAAAAACAAAAAAAACATGAGAAACTAAGTGCTGAGTGTGACATCATACCAAGGGGTTTGAACTGCCTTTTGCGTGCCGCTTGTGAGGGAACGCCTGCAGCACTTTTTGACTGCTGGGGTAAGGCTTGCAGAAGGCGCAGGAATGCTGAGATCTCTGCGTAATGTCGCGATTATGTCCTCTTACCGAATGCGTTGAGAAGGAGGTGGGGCTTCAGTGCACATCAAATTTTGATATTCGTAATCCCAAAAACTAAATAAAAACAAAAAAAAATTTTTTTTTTTCTTCTCAAGTACAGATTTGTTTTAGTTTCCCTTTAAAGGGAAGCTGGAGCAGTTTTGTATTTGACGAAACACAGTTAAATCTTCTTCATTTGACCTCCAGGATCTCTAATATCGAAATTATTTTTAATTTGGTGCATGGAGGCTGTAGAAAATCATTTAATTTCATATAATTTATTTACCTCAGGGGCATATTTTGAGGACACATTACATGAGGGTTGGCACGTATCTAGGGAGGGGGGGGGGGGGGGGGGGCCCATCGGGCCCGGCCCTCCCCGCCTTCCCCCCAAAAAATCTTCCGTTTTGCTGGGACCTCCTCTCCCCCTCCCCTCATACAGCATTTTGTCATGGGCAGACCTCCCCTCTCCCTCACTCCCCTCGAAACAAAATCCTGGCTACGTGCCTGCATGAGGGGGGTGGCAGTAAATAGGAATACAATATAAAAAAGAACACTTAACGCAACCACATCTGATCTAGCCACAAAGAAAAAAAAATATATGTATACAGGGTGTCACAAAAAAAGAAATTTACAGGGGTTTTTTTTTATTGCAAAAATAAACTAGGCATCGTCGGACGTTCATTCTCCGCCCAAAGGTAGTGCTAGAGTTCACAATCAGATGCCAAAGTTTCAGCCCGATTTGATGCCTTAACTAAAAGTTATAAGTGATCTTCTGAAAATTTCAATGGGAAAATGGCGGTCGACGAAGTTTTCGAATACATGGGGCTCTATGGGCACTAGGAACCGAAAACGGGCAAAAATGGACTCCATTTTCCCATTGATATTTTTTGCGATTGCACGCGCAGCCGTGGAGCAACACGCGCTCGGCGGCCGAAAGATCCTTTTATGACGTAACGGCTGGTCAAAGGTTTTTTGTGTTTTGTAGCGTTTAGTTACATATTTGGGGAAAACGAATGTGATATTCACATTCCCAGGATAAACCAACGCAAGAGTCAACTTCTATCATATTTTTTTAAAGGAGTGTTTCAGCTTCCCTTTAAATAGGTTTTGATGTATAAGTGAATATTTCAGTGGTTGTGTTTGAAATGCATTGTTATGTTCTGTTTAATGAACACTTTTTTTTAAAGCCCGCCCCCTCCAAATATGCCTGATGGCGATACAGGCATTTATGTAAATAGATAAATAAAACAAAGTCGAAACTGAAGCTGTAGTTGTTTTGCTATCCACAAAATTGGCTTAAAGGCCGACGACCAGACTCGAGATTCTGCAAGGCAGAAGACCCTTCTTTCCACGCCTTCGGGCGAGGGAAGCGAAGGATGGAAAGAAGGGACCAAGAGGGGCGGGCGTGGGTGGAAAGGGTAGGAGGGAGAGGGGGAAGCGGGTGAAAAGTGGAAAGTGCGAACTGGTCGTCGGTCTTTAAGGTGTTCCTGCTCGCCAAATTCGAATTTTAGAGGCATACAGAAAAATCAATGACGGTTAATTGGTGGCCCGTGGGTGTGGTACGGAAAGAGTTAAATATGGTGCAAATTGGACAGATGCATACGAAAATGGGGAGACTGGCATGTTTGTGAACAAACCAGTGCTCTTTTCAGGTTATCTTCTTATCTTTATCACTGACTTCCTCCGACCTCATCGCTCGGAATTGTGATACCGGGAGAATGGGTTCTTGCTATCCTTACAGGTCTCGGTACAGGTTTCTACAGAGGTTGGCAATGTTTTCACGTTTTGCAGGCAGGGACCCATTTGTTCTTGTTCGTGAACAGAAAATTGCTTCCTCTTATTCTCTTCTTCTTCTTTTCTTTGTCACGGATGTCCTCCAAGCCCGTGGCCATGCATGGTCTCCATGTTTAGGGAGAACGGGCTAAGCTGATCTTGTGATCTACATTTGGTGTTTTCGTAGTGGTCGGCAATTCTTCACTGTTTTCTGGAAGGTGATATTTATCCCAGAAAGTGGCATGGCAGATGCTCCGACGATTGGTGTTGAATGGGGATATTACGGTCAGTTGAACTAATAGAGCAATAGAATGTGTCGAGTAGCTATTAGTGGCCAGCACTAGTTGCCTACTTGCCATGGCAATGAGACAGAAGGTTACCATTGCTGCACCCGGCATGCCGCATCATACGTCTACCGTAAAATACCAAGCGTGCCCGAATGTTGTAATGAGCGCCCACAACCTACTTTTGAAACATTTGAAATGTTGGCAAAGGACATATCAAGCAGCCACTCCAGCAAACCACTGCTTTGCATGACGAGAAGCCGTGCAAAGCAGCGAACCTTTAAGTGCGTGCGTCGTTGCAAAGCGGCAAAGCTAGAACCCAGAGCGCTGGCAGAAGAAAGCAGGCTTGACGAGAGCGGTGCAGCTGCTTTTAAAATCGAGGGTTTTGCCAGACCCCCTGTACTGCTTCTACAGGGTGCTTTTTTTTAAGCTTTAAGATTCGTTTAAAAAAAGCTGCATAAACTACACTTACGTGGTTTGTGCAGGCGAGTTATGGGGACATGTTATAGGGGGCTAACCGTAACGATCAGTTGTCTAATTAAGTATAATCTGTTAATTAACTTTTTAATTAGTGAAAACAGATATATGGTTCCATTTGGAAACTTGCTAAGCATAGATGAAAACCACTAAATCAACTCTCTTTAGGAAGATACAAGACGGGCAGCATTTTATGGCGTTCTTCGAATGCATTTCTAAGTTACGGTTTCTTATCGGAGTGCATCTTTGCACACTTGCGGTCCTGCTCCCCAGGGTTTGTGGCGCAAAGCCACCCTCTTGCCTCCCTCGTAGGATGGAGGGAACTAGGGCACACATGTATGGGCATCTCAGCCACTGGGGAGCAGGACCGCGGGTGCAGCGATGCGCTCCGATAAAAAAACGAAACCGAGAAACGCGTTTCAATGGAGCATTTTTACGGAACGCTGATAAAACGCTGCCCCTGTGTTACATCGTTCTAAAAAAAGTTGATTTAGTGGTTTTCATTGACGTCCAGCGAGTTTCTAATTGGAACCTCATGTCTATTTTTACTAATTAACAAGTTATTTAACAAATTTTACTTAATTAGTCGCCTGATCGTTACGATTAGCCCCCTGTACTATGTCCCCCGTGACTGTATAACTCACCTGCACAAACCACGTAAGTGTAGCTTTCACGGATTTTTTTTAAAAATGCTTAAAAAAACTATCCCTGTATATATTTCTGTTTGGAACAAACAAGGGATTACCCTACAGTATGCCCCTTCTGCTTTTTTGCTGCTGAACCTAACTACCCCCATCTTTCCGTGATTACCTCCAACTTTTGCATGGCCATTTGCTCGGTATTTTACGGTACCACCTTTGCCTAGTGTCCTTAATCTGGTACACTTGAGTCCAGATTGGGCCACTGACCCACAGAGTGCTGAAACAGTTTCTGCTTTCGTTTTAATTGCAGGTGGGTCGAGGGGTGACAGCTCACCACAATCCAAGCTGGAATGTGCCATCTGCCTGCAAAAGTGCATCCACCCAGCTAAACTGCCTTGTGGTCACATCTTCTGCTACCTATGCGTCAAAGGGATCGCTAACCAAAGCAAGAAGTGTGCTATGTGCCGACAGGTAACTATGCCTGAGTTTGTTAGGCACTCATTAGCCAGCATTAGAAAGCTGTGTCATTGTTCCTTAGAAGTGGCCACTCAAAAATATTTTGAAGAGGATTGTTTCCCAATGTAATTACACTTTTTGGTCTGAGGTTAGGCCAGCATCTGTGGCTCTGTGTCATATTTTTCCTCGTCCATCAGCCATTTGCTTTTTGTGTCGGGGTGTCTGAACAGTGGCTTGAATCGAGTAGCGCATTATCACTCGTAGCTTCAATACTGTCAGGAGAACCGGTTGTTGTGGCTTTTCCTTGCACTGTGAAGGCTAGGAATGATGCAGCACTTTCGATTCAAACCACTATTCCTGCACCTCTCATTTTTGTGCGTTTGACGAAGGTATTGCGTGACTTACAGGAAATTCCAGCGGACTTCACGGACAAACCAGAACTCCTGTCGGAAAGTGGCTCCGAGACAGACGAGGTCTCCGAAAGCAACTATCAGTGGTTCTACGAGGGCCGCAACGGCTGGTGGCAGTACGATGAACGCACTAGCGCAGAGCTTGAGGCAGCCTCTGCTAAGCAGGAGCCAAGGTGAGACAGCCACTCGGCCAATCACTTTCCAATGCTCTGCCAATCACGTACCGACACTCAGCCGATCACATGCTGACACAGTAGGTCGTATGCTGACAGTATTAATGATGTGCCGACACTGAACGGGTTATGCGCTGGCACTCTGCTCATCACGTGTCGATGCTCAGCCGATCACATGTGGACTTTCAGCCGACTGCTTCCTGACACTGCCAATTCTTTACCAACAGTCGACTGATTGCATGCTGAGACACTCTGCCGATAATGGGGCACTGCCTGGCTGTTGCTGCCTGTACTGTACTGTGCTGTGCTTGTTTTTTTGACTGTGTGGTCCTGTGAGCCCATAGCTAATTGCATGCGGCAAGAATGTTCTAATTACCAATTTCTCGACACATGCTTTGCCGACATGCAGGTGTGAAGTCCTCATCGCCGGCTTCCTCTACATCGTAGACTTTGAGCACATGGTTCAGGTGCGCCGCAACGACCTCTCCCGCCGACGCCGCGTGAAACGGGACTTGGCCACCATCCCCAAGAAAGGCATCGCTGGAATCCGGCTTGACGAACCGCTGCAAGAGGAAGTCGAAAACCGCCGCGCTGGCGGCACGACCTGCGACAGGAGTGCAGCTCCGCTGCAACCTCTACCGCCTGCGGAAGGCGGGACGCCCCTCGAGACGTCGCCGTCGGAGGCTGTTGAAACTAGCTTCGAGCAACAGGCGTGGTCCGGCGACACGAGCAGCGAGGCCTACCGCGACTCTATGTCAGAAGAGGACGGAGTCTCTGATCGCGACACGGATCTGGTGAACCTCACTTCGCTGAGTCTGTATTCTGAAGACGGAACTGAGGAGAGCGTTGCAGTCGGCGCCGAATGCGAGGTGGCTTCTTCTGAACAGGCGGTGGCCGGCGGTGGTGGTGCTTTACAGGCGTTGCTTCATCACCGAAGGTATTACGAGGATGGGTTGTGATATCTGGGACACGCTGACATGACTTAGCAAGCGTCACTTGGATAGGTGGCAGAGCTATAGTCGGTGACAGGTTAAGAATTCAGTAGGTGCTCCGCCTCCAGCATCAGTTTTCTGCCATTTATAACATTTTTTTGCAGACGCTGCCAGTGCCTGGCAGATGGCAACGAGCATGTGCTGGAGGCAGAGCTTGTACTGGCTTCTTAACTTGTCACTAACTATAGAGGCATGTCAATTACATCGTACATGACAAAGCTCCTTTGAACTACTGTACATCGACTGAGCACGTGTTCAAGGACTGTGATGCTTCTGGTTTCCTTTGTTCATTTTTTGTTTTCGTTCCTGTGGTGTGCTTTGACTTCTGTTTCGTGGCCCCTGCCACAAGTGTTTCTTCAAGTTGGACCTGTTCCCTTCCCATTAACTTTGTCTAATTACTTGCGTTCCTTTTGAACCGAGTGGGCATTAATCTGACGCCACGTGTGGTCCATACTAGAGCCACAGAGTGTACCCAGAGTGCCAGCCTTCTGGATTTTACTTTGTAACCACCAAGGACGTGAAGAAAAGTGCAGAGCGTGGTGAATTGTGGGCACTGCCATCGTTGGAATCGAGATGAAGACTGTGGCAATGGCAAAAGAGTGGAGAAAGAAACAGACGAAACATTGCGCGTGTTCATTTCTTGTCACAACGCATCGAAGTTGTTTCGAGTGCTTGCCAGCCTTAGTTCTTTTTAGACGACAGTGCTTAACGTCGATGTTCTCTTGCAGAATGAACCGAGAAAGGACTTGTTAAAGTGTGGCCACTGATCGAGGCTCACTGGTACTACCACCGGTCTGCCTCTAGGCTCCACCATTCTGTGGCAGCCGAAATACGTGGAGATGGCAGATCTTTGTCTCTAGATGTATTATATGAATGGTACAATGAACCGTGTTGCAGGGCTGCAATTGATGGTTTAGATAAGGCAGCATTATGCGATTTAATCAATTCGAGGTGGGGAGAGCTGGCAGAACCTGTTAGCCTTTTATGTTCCGACTACTTATAATTCAGATGGCCAACATCAATCAACCAATCGGAAAGCTTGTTTGACTCGATTTGTTCATTTCGAGCAGACGCTACAAAATGCAATAATTTGGGAACATTGGGTGGCTCTGGGTTATGCGCCACAATCTGTGACGAGCATTTTTACACGATCAAACCGGTGTGTTAGCTTGGAGCGTTATTTATTCCGCGTATTTTCACACAATAATCTTTAGTGTAGTGGACGGTTTTGTGGCGGCTGTTTGTTTGTTTTCGTTGTGCACAACTGCATTTCGAAAGTGCATTTCTCCTGGCCTCGTGTGTGGGTGAAAGCCAGCCATGTTCCCAAACTTCTGCTGCTGTATTTGTGCTGCAAGGAAGCTCGCATTTTAGGGCTCGACAAGGACAGGTTGTTTTATTAGAATAGCAGCTCGAAAAAAGGGCGTCGCCCACAAGGCGGCATTGCTGGAAAGTAGTGTTGCATGCTGAGACGACAGACGCTTGGTCTGTGGCCCACAGTTCATTGTTTTAGTCTACTTGTGTTTTTAGGCCGCTTGAGTCAGTCGAGCTGCTTGTTGGAATAAAATTCTGGTCTATAACATATACATACATTCTAAGAGATCTGGAATGTCAACTTATCCACTAACCTCTGTTGGGAGGGCCAGTCACTGCCATCTTGGCGAATGACGAGGCTGATTATATGTTTTAGACCTTGAAGAAAACAGCCCTCCGTGGCACAGCTGAACGTTTCACCATGCTTGGTGTCAATGTAGACAGTTATTTCTTTAGGTATAACTTTATTAGCCTTGTAATTTGCCAGGATCTTTTCGTAGATTGCAGCGATTTGCTCTCCCAAATGCTTGGTGGGAAAGTAAGCGCACGAGATTTCCGAGTGCAGTTATTTTTCGACGTTGAAGAAAAAGATAGCAACCTTGGTTTTGTATTCCTTCATAATATCATAGTGGAGTTTATTAGACACAAAGCTGGTGGCAACGTTATTAGATTAGCTCAGTTACGAAACTGCTCATAGACGGTGCTTGCACTATCAGTACCCTAGAGTGCCTTCATACCATGGAGAATAGAAGGGTAGGAGAGGGCATGACGTCGGCCGCGTAGCCTTCACAAGCCATGCTCCCTTGACGCTCGCCTCTTCCTCATTTTCCTCCTTACTCTCCTCACCTACCATGCCAACGTGACCACATCACGAGACCGTAGCTAGCCTTCGTCTTGCTATGGGGTACTAGAATACACCACAGTCTAGACTTCGATCTGATAAAACCTACCGGACGGAGCGCGCGCAAGCCTGCAAGGAGTCCTACAATCAACCATCCATCTCACACGTGACATGTCACGCGCGCCAATCGCCAGAAAGATCTGCGGTCACGCTGGGCACAAAATCGTTTAAACTTTTTATGACTAGGCTTCACCAATATTGCAACGTGCCCCCTCCTAGTACTTCTAACCTCCTTGCTTCATACACACGCGCACTTTTGCTTGAGTAATGATATCTCAGCCATTTTTCCGCCCAGTCGACTTTTTTATGCCTTTTGAAGTGCGCGCAATCCGGTGTCACTCAGCTCGAGCGCGTAGCTTTGACTAATGCATAGACGGCATTTTACCGCCCAAGTCATGCACCGAGTGCGCGAGAGCGTCACGCGCTGACACACTCATGGCAACGATAAATGTCTTCACCCTGAAACAGACAGATATGTAGGCACCCTACAATACCCCCCTCACTCACCACGACTCGCCTTCCGTCGTTCGACGTGCCGGACGGCAGCTTTGATAGCTGCAGTGGATACATACGTTTCGAGGCGCAGCGTCTAGATGGCGTTCCACCGTACTCTACCGAAGACAACATAGATTTAATAAAGTCATTGGGTTTTAGAGACAGCGAAGGAAGAGTGGATTTCAAGACTGTAGAGATTACCAAGCAAAGATTAAGTGAATGGTGGCAGAAATCGAGAGAAAACTAGGTATTTTCTTATTCACTGATGGCAAGGGGGTTTCGTAGCTTCACTTTCTTTGCACTGCGGAGTGAATATAGATTTCACATTTAAATATTCTAAGCTTAAATGGTAAAACAAAATGGCTAGGTGGCGCAAGCTACCGCCCGATCCAAAGGGCTCAGCCGTATTCATCCATCCATCCATCCATCCATGGAACACAGAGTTCGCAAACGAAAATCTAGATGGCGCTTCGAACGGCGGGAGGCGGATTGAAGTGAGTGAGGTTGGGTACCCCCTTCCGCGGGAGTTCCACAACTGAGGTAATCTACACTACAGGGTGAAACAAGGAGACGGCAGGCTCTTTAAATCGACCGGAAAATTCGGTTTCTTAACCTATCGCGCTACGACTTTGTGCAGCGTTGCCCACACATGGTGCATTTTTTTTGTAAAATTTGCAAAGACCGAACTTACCTGAGGAAAAAGTAAAGAAAGAAAAAGACTTAGCTCCTATGGAAACACAGCGAAGCCACCGGTCTTCAAACAACACGGCGCCGTTTCGCACGGAAGACAAGAGATGGCGCAAGTGGTCGCGACGCCAACTAGGGAGGCTCAAGTGAGGGTGGGTGCAACTGCTAGATCGGCGATCACGGGACATGGACGCCATTTAATTGCTAAATTTTGCTGGGAGTCTATGGGGCAAAGGGTCGTTTTCTTTCCTAACTCGGGTCATAAAAGCCCATTAAGGTGCTTGAATAATTTACACAAGGTATAAATGATTACTTTTCCATAGCCACCAGTTTTGTTGCGATAGGTTAAGTATTTTTTTAACGCGAAAAAATGGTAAATTCCGCCATCTTGGACGTTGCTGCTTGTCTGGCAACTTTGCTTTCTCCGCTCGACGCTTGCAATTCTCGGAGCGAGAAGGAAGCGAGAGAGGCTGCGCCAAGGCGCTCGTTGCTTGCAATGGGAGGCGAGAGGAGGAAAGGCGCATGGAGCAACAGAGTTGCAAAAGAGCGGGCGCCTGCTCTCGTGCAGGCAACACTGGCGCATATCCTTTCTCGAATCCTCTCCCTCAGGCGCCGCCATTAAATTGCAAACGCTCTCCAGGTTTTGAGTTGCGCCCACCCTCACTACAGCCTCCCTAACGCCAACTAGGGGTGTCGCGAACTTTTGTCGAACCGGATTTTTAGGTCGAACTTTCGGGGTTCGACTAAGTCGAACCGGTTCGACGAACTTTCGAAACTTTTTACCAGATTCGACCGGTTCGACTTTGCGGACAGTGTGGCCAGACCTTGATAGACGCATGTCTAGGTTTGGAGAATTTATTTTTATGCAAATGGTTATTTTATTTTATTAACAGTTGGAATTAAAAGAAACCACTTCTAATCACTAAAGACCTTAATAACTTAATTTTGTTTGTACTGTATTAACTGAAATAACCAACCAGCGGTGCCCTTAATTCATCCATTAGCCATTACCATCCAATCCGAAGCCAACTGGCCAGCCTGTCGCGCATGCGCACACGAGTCGAACCTCAATACAAGGTTCGTCGAAATTTCCACGAAAAGTTCGAAAAAGTCGAACCAGGTCGGACTCGAACCTCGGCCGGTTCGCGACACCCCTAACGCCAACTGCCTCCAACGAACGAGCAGACGACGCCGAGAGCCGCCGTATTTAGCAGACAAGGAACTGCAGTTCCTCGTTGTTACCGCGCCTGTTTTTGTTTCTGCGGCTGTCGCCGCCTGTGGAACGCGCGTCGCTTGAGTCGAAAAGATTGTCTGCTAAAGACGCTGGCTCTCGGCGCCGTATGCTCGTTCGTTGGCGGCGTTCATTGCGCCATCTCTTGTGTCCCGTGCAAAACGGCGCCGTGCTTTTTGAAGACCGGTGGCTTCGCTGTGTTTCCTATAGGAACCGTGCGGATCTAATTCAAGCCCCGACCAGGGCGCCCCTAGCGGCAAACGGGTCCGTTGCATCGGGCATCTTCTGCCTGTCGCTGCATTGATTGTGCGTTGTAGTGGGTTAGCGCTGTAATTCCTGATGGCTATTCCGCACCAAGAAAGCCGCAACAATTGCTGCGTGGTCGGCAAGATCGCGCACGGCACGAAGTACTACATCGTCCCTTCGAAGCCGTACGAGGCGGAGTACTGCGCGACCTGAGTTCGACTTCTGCGTCCATACAGGTTAGTGGTGTTTCTTACCTTCCAGTTCGCGCTTTGTTTAAGCTGCTGACGAATAATACAATTAACTTTTTTTTCTCTTCTAGCGACGATAGAACAGCATCGACGCCGACGGCAAACTCTAAAATATGCAACAAATACTTCACCGGAATCGAGAAGCGGAATGCGGTCGCCCTCCTAAGCCTACCCTTGGATGTTTCCATCAGCCTACAAGAAGATAGTAAAGAGAATCGCGGAACGGCGCGAAAAGAAATCGCCCAGTTATTGTCAAGCTGATTCATAAATAAACGTTACATAATTACCGCAGTTCACTCAACGCCAACTAAATTTTTTTTGCGGGCGCGCTTAAAGAGTACGGCGCTCCGTGACATCCACTTGTCCGTCGAAACGGACCTCCTTCACGTCGTACACGCGGCCAGATTCATGAAACAGTTTTCTCTTCGTCATATTGGCACCACGGAAGAAGCTTTCTGGATTCGTAACCGCCTTAAACCCCGTCGTAATCACCCCGGGAACACTGTCCGCTGTGCTGCTCATCGCCACTGCTTCCCCCCGATGATTCTGCACCGGCTACCGAAGAAGCTTTCCGGATTCTTAGTCGCCCACTGTCCTCTGTGCTGTTCGTTGCTATTACTTCGCGATGATTCTGAGCCGGCGGCAACGGCTTCCGAAGGAACTTTACGAACTCGTAACTGCTTGAAATTCCGTCGTAATCACGACGGGGACACTGCCGCCGTGCTGTTCGTCGCCATTGCTGCCCGATGCTCCTGCGGCGGCTACCGCCAGGTCGCGGCGAACAATAGGCGACCGCCGCGACACGGCCGGCTTGCTCACTTCCTATACATGCCTTGCACGTGACGTCATATGGCACCGTGTCAGCTGCCATTGCTCCGTACCAGGTTCCTGTACGGAGCCTTCTGCGGCATACATTTGGCACCATCGAATCTGCACTTCTCGGCAAGCCTTGACCAGAAAAACAAATTCAATGGTATCAAATGTAGGCTGCAAAATTTACGGGCACAGGAGAACGGTACGGAGCAATGGCGGCTGATGTGACGTCAATGCAAGCCATGTATAGGAGCTAAGCCTTTTTCTTTCTTTACTTTTTCCTCAGGTAAGTTCGCTCTTTGCAAATTTTACCAAAAAAATGCACCATGTGTGGGCAACGCTGCACGAAGTTGTAGCGCGATAGGTTAAGAAACCGAATTTTCCGGTCGATTTAAAGAGCCTGCCGTCTCCTTGTTTCACCCTGTAGTAACATTGGCTGGGTGGTAAGGTATCAGATATTTCCCGTGTTTTTTTTTTTTTTATCATTTGTGTTTAGTTCATTATGGTGTGATTAATTCTAGGGTGTGTAGGGTACCAAAGTGGATAACAGGGTGACTGAAATATCTAGGCTCGATCTAAAATGGGCCGTAAAAATCGGCGCCTGCACGTAGCAACCTAAACTTTTCATCAAAGGTGTATTTCACAGGTCAGTTTTATCCTGTAAA